AGAAGGTCATGCTCAAGAGTGCTGGGTCTGAAGTGCTGGATGTTTTGTATTTGTGAATGAGGCCAGCACACAGTCAGTTTTAACAGGTGGCTTTGTTCAGATCAGCTATTGGAGAGAGAGAACTTGGTCTGTTGTAGCCAAATGTGGACTCCTAACTCCTTAGCAGTGGAAGTCAAAGCAAAGACCCAGCTCAGGTGCTTTTACCATCCCATTTTCTAACCCAGCTCTAGTAACATCACTGAGAGCTCTATAGAAACAGGTTTACAAGGCAAAGAACACAGTACTGACCCCTCTGGTCAGCACAGCCTGTGAAGTTTTGTGTGCAAGAGACAGGTTCCCTTCACTGCCTGCTGACACTCCCCACAGAGAGTTCATGCACTCAAAGTGCAAATGCTCCTGGAGCAGGAGAAACTCAAAGTTCCACAGTTACCTCCTTAGAGCACACTGGTGCTCCTTTATCTGGTGGCTTTCTGTCTGATTTGATCTGTAATGAATCAGTTGATACCAAATCAACTTCAGGAATAACTTGATCACAGGAGCCTCACTCTGTGTGCCAAAGGACTCATCCACTTTTGCTTCCTGTGAGTGTGCAGCATTCAGGAGAGGTGAAAATCAGACTCTAGATTATATACAAATAAAAGCTGAGTACAAAAGACAAGCTTTTACTCTGAGCCTTTGTATAAATTATGTACTTTACCAGTAGCTAAGGAAGGGTTAGGCATGGGGTGGTCTTTATATTGTCCCCTCACTGTCACTGCTGCTGCATCACAGGGAGCCCTCAGCCCACCAGGAGATGAAACTGGAGTCATTCACAATACAGCCACACTTTCCACTTCTAATCTCTAAATACAGCGATATTTTATCTGCAAGTAGCTCTCCTCATCTTTTGAAGCAGCACTTGCAAGAGGGCTGTGATTTATTGTTTGAGAGGTTTTATTGGTGTTTTTTTCAGTGATGCTCTGAGGACTTTTTGACTCTGGCTGCTTTGCTTTCTCAGTAATTGCATTGTTCAGCAGATCGGTGCAATCTGTCTTATTTCTCCTTGGTTTGATGCTTGTCCCTTACAGCTGGAGGGCTGTTCCTGTTGGGCCCAGAGGGTCCTGCACCTTCCACCATTCCTGTGAGTTTGGGTGGTGTCAGGACAAGAGTGATGGAGCCCACAGCTGCTGAGCTGTGCTCCCCAAGGTGCAGTGCAGACACAGCTCTGACTCTCTCCACTGCACACTCTGAGTATCTGCTGCTCATGTTTTATACATTTGCCATCTTCTGTGACAGAACATCTCCATAATCCTTGCAAACTGATTTCTCGGAGCAGGAATCAGCCCAACCTTTGGGAGTGTGGTGGTTGGTAATTACAGTAATTACTCCTCATAACTTTGGTAAGCTCATCTGTCTGGACTTATCTCTCCAATTTTCATTTTCCTCCTCTTTACTTTGCACTGTAAAGCTGTAAACAATTTTCTTGAAAAGAACACTGGGCCTAATATCCCACCTTCAATTAAAAAGAGAAAAAAACATTCTTTTTTCCACTAGAGATGTCTAGCTGCAGGTAGTTTGGCCCAGCCAGCTCATTCCCAGGCACCACTGGAGTGCCCATGGAGCAGATCCAGGCCATTCCTGGATTCCCACAGCACCAGCTCCTTGTCCTTGTCTGCGGATGGGACACTGGGGATGCAGTGGCCAGTTTGCTGCACATATGTCCTTTCTTTGCTAATATGTCCAGGTCATAGTTAATCTTGCAGGGCTCAGGGGATTTATTCTCTTCTCTGCAGAGTCGTGTGGCCTCTGTGGGAGCTCTGGCTTTGTCCTTCTCTGTGGCTGGGCAGGGACACGCTGTGACCTGCAGATAATGATTGTCCCTTCACGGTCCCCCTGTCACCACAGAGGACCCAATGGGGCAGTTTGCTCTCTAAGACAGGCCAAATTCAAAGGGTTTTCTCTCAACTGCTGTCTACATTAAATATTTGATTAATGTAGGCTGACAACTACCTACATTAATGTAATCCTTTTTTCTACACTTCCTGCTCCCAAACCGGTTTTCCACAATAATCACACATGTGCTGTCCAAGGAAAGGTGCTGTGTGTGAGCACGCACACAGCCTACGGAACTGCACTGTTCACGTGGGAATCTTTCACCCACTTTTGTAGCAAAGAGAGTGAAAACAATCGCTAGAAATTAATTTTTAATTAATCCCCGCTCGGGGAGGCCGGGGCAGCTTCACCCATGTGCGCGCTCTGTCCCGCTCCACGCCCGCGGCGCCCTCCGGTGGCGAGAGAGCGTCATTGCAGCACGGCCGGGATCCAGCGACCAGAGCCGGGATCCAGCGACCAGAGCCGGGATCCAGCGGAGCCGGGATCCACCATCCGGAGCCGGGATCCAGCGACCGGAGCCGGGATCCACCGACCGGAGCCGGGATCCACCAGAGCCGGGATCCACCAACCGGAGCCGGGATCCACCAGAGCCGGGATCCACCAGAGCCAGGATCCACCGACCAGAGCCGGGATCCACCAGAGCCAGGATCCACCGACCGGAGCCGGGATCCACCGGAGTCAGGATCCACCAACCAGAGCCGGGATCCACTGCCCAGAGCCGGGATCCACCGGAGTCAGGATCCACCAACCAGAGCCGGGATCCACTGACTGGAGCCAGGATCCACCCACCCAACCTGGGATCCACTGACCAGACTTCGGAATCCACTGATCAGAGCCAGGATCCACCAACCGGAGCTGGGATCCACCAACTGGACCTGGGGATCCAAGGCTCCCAGGAGATCCAGCAAACCCAGGGATCCACCACTTCTGGGAACACATCAGACCCGAGATCCACCAACCCTTCCCAGGGATCCACCGCTCCTATAGGTCCCACTGCTCTCTGGGATTCACCACTCCTGGGGAACCCTCTGAACCTGGGATCCACCAACCCTTCCTGGGGATCCACCACTCCCAGGGATCCACCAGCCCCAGGGAACTCAAGATCCCTGCTATTTATTTTAAGTCTGTGTGGCACATTCAGCAGAATATAATATATCCAGCTTTGTTATCCCCAGATTTCCAACTACATGGGGTCGGGTTTATATTTCCTTTCTTACTTTTGGGAAAGCCTAGGCAGCAGAAGGAGAAGTCATGTGTCCAAAATGTGGCAAAGCCACAGGTAAAATTGTGAAATGTCTTTTCACAGATGCAATGAGAGGAAAGTGAAGCCTAGAAGACCCACTGCCCCGAGTCTGGCTCCATGCTGAATTGGTGCTCCTTATTTTAAATACATGCAAGGAACATTTAGCAGAGAATAAAATATCCAGCTTTGTTTACCTTCTAGTGAGGAATCTGTGAGCTGGAGAGGCTGAGCTGGTTATTGGCTTTTCATGCCATAGAATTATGTCCACCTTGGAGCCCTTTTTCACAGGGAAACCTTTTAAAAAGACAAATGAAGGCATTTAATAAATATGCTCTTCATAGAATGAAATGACCCAAGCTTTGGCATCTATTCACTGCCTACTCACGGGTGAGCACTTCACTTCAACACAGCTCTTCTTGTCCACAGGTTTTTAACTACATGGGCTTAGGTTTGTAATTATTTTACTCCTGGGAAAGCCTAGGCACCAGAAGGTTATATGTCCAAAATTGGTGGCAAAGCCACAGATAAAATTATGAGATTTCATTTCACACGTGCAAGGAGAGGGGAGGAAAGTAAAACCTAGGAGAGCCACTGCTCAGGGATTTTCCAAGGCACAACATTTCTAATAAATAGCCAGGGGGAGGTGAAGCTTAACCTCTGCTTGTAGCTTTGAAAGACCTGGGCAGTGGTAGCTGAGCATCCCTGTTGTGTCATGTGGAAAGGATTTACCTTGCAATGTGTTGCTCAGGTTTCCTGCAGAGCTGAGGTGACTCTGCCGTGCATGATGTGTGATCCAGGGCATTTCTTCCCTCTCAGAATTCCTACCAGGCAAAGGAGTTGGCATTCCCTTCTGTCTGTCCAGCTCTCCCTCAGTGCTGCCCACCAGGCCAGTCCTGCCCAGTCCATGACCTTCCCCATCGGATGTCACACAAAGCACATCAGGGTCTGTGCTGTCCAGAAGCATTTGGGCAGTCACTGTCCTCTCTTGCCTATCCCTGGAAGTCTCAGGTCCTGGCACAGAAGGAGGATCACTGTAAAGGTCCAGAGTTGTCTCTGTTGATTGTTTGTCAGCAGAGGCTTTAACCCAGCTGGCTGCACTCAGCCTCTTCTGTGCCACGTCAATCTTTTCTGTGAGTTCCCTGGACAGACTATGAATGGCTCTCACTCGATCCTGTGTGCTTCTGTGTGGAGAAAGTCCAAAAGATGAGTCCTTGGGGAAAGGTTTTGCCTCTTTCTGAGGAACAGAAAAGCTCAGAGGAGGTGAATGCAGAGATGGGGGAGAGTAGTCCCTCAAATCTTCATATTTCAGAGGACTGAGAAACCAGAATTTGGATTCCAGTGGTGCTGGAGGACCTAATTCCTCTCCTTTTTTAGGTGATTGAGCTGTTTCTAGGAGTTCATTCCTGTTAAAAAAAAAACAAAACAAGAGAGATGTCTGTAGTGTGAGCTGAGAAAGAGGCTTTCTAGGATGCTTTTTATGTCTGAGTACCTGCTTCTGTGATCTTCAGGTGATAGAAGAGAGGATGTTTCATCCACCCAGGCCATAAAACTCCTTTCCAGTACTCCCCCACTGGTTTGCTCCTGAAAGAGAAGAGCCTGGCAATGTAAGCACTCAATAGCTGATAACAGAAAGGTAATGTTTGGCTTTTATTCCACCTAATAATTGGCTCATGTAACTGGAAAACTGCTCACACCACACAGCAAACCTGTTCTTTTAGCTCAGGCACTGGAGATTTCCAGGTTTTTGGCCTGAAGTTGAGGGTTCCAGCCCTGCACTGATCAAGGAGGGGTTTCAATCTGCCTCTCCTTAGGACTTACTTGCTCAAATTCACACTGAGGATTTCCTTTGGCAGAACCTGTTTTCCCGATGGGTTTGTGCATCTCATCAGGACAGGATTTCTTCCCAATAGCTTCTTTTTGTTTCCTGTACACTTCTTGCAACCTCTTCTTCCTCATCTCCACAGCCTGTGCCAAAGACTTTTTCTCTTCGAGGATTTTTTTCTTTCTTTCTGCTTTTTTCTGGTGCATAAATTCCCGAACACTTTCAGGGCTGTAGGGGTGAGGTTTTTTAAGGTTTATCCTCCTCTTTGAAGGTTGCTTTATATTTTCTTTCTCAGACCCTTTTGGTCTCTGAGGAGATGCACTTTTTCCTCTGCTGCAGCTTCCTGAGGTGCTGGGCTTGGCTCCATCTTTCATTAATGAAAGTCCAGGTGGAGGAGAATGGATCCCTTGGGATTGGTGTTTCACAGCATTTCTGGGGAGCCTGATCTGTCTGTGTTCCTCACAGGCCTGGCTTTGCGAGAGAAGCTTCCTGAATGCTTGCTTTGTATCCTCTGTGGGTGCATTTTTGCCCCTTTCAGCTTTGCTGGGAGCGACCACAGCACTGTGAGCTCCAGGGCTCTCCCCCACAGGTTCATTTCCCTTCATTCTGGAGCTGATCTCCATCACCAGCATTGCCCCAAGTCCTCGACCTCCTTCCAAAGGTTCTGTGGGAAAGATTAGGAAACAACAGTGAAATAATAATGTAATTATTTCAGAAAGTAGCAATTCCTGTATCTATACCCAACCTGCTTCCTACCACAGCACTGAGGACTATTTGCTTGTAAAATCTCTAATATTCAGGCAGAAGATAAATCTGTCAAGGTGAAATTTGAATTTGCAATGGCCAACTGTTTAAATAAAGGTGATCAGAAGGGCCTGGAAAGCTTTAGTTTCATTTAAGTTTAATAAACCCTTTTTTATTTTTTGGGTGTGCCAAAACAAGCAGTGCTGTAGAGGGACAGCTGTACCAAAGGTTTTTGCTGTGCTCTGCTCTCCAGTTCTGCTCCTCAAATGTGGAAGTGGAAGGGGTGGACCCAGCAGCCTTCTAGCCAGCTTCTGACCTTCTCTCCATGCAGAAACACCAGGTAGATTCACACCTGAAACAGAGAGCTTTTATTTAATTATTAAAGCCCCACATGTTCATTGAAAGACTTGTAACTCTTATTCCAGTCCATTTAATGGTGATTTCCAGGAATCACACTCAAGGCGTGGAGAGATCTAAAAAGTTTAAGTTGAAGCAGGTTTAAAATAAAAAAAAGTTGGTGCTACTTTGATAACAAAAAGTTTTTAAAGCACTCAGACTTTGGAGGCTGCCAGGATCATGAATCAGATGGGTTCATGAGTGTAAAATGTGAAGGTTCAGTGCTTTCCTAAGGCTTTACCATCAGCAGTTATATAATTCCACACTTGCAGTGTGTTCACACAGTCCTTTGAAGTTTTACTCAGAAATCACTGATTCCCAGAGGCCTCAAAAACACAGAGAGAAGGTCAGGACTTCCTGGGTACCAGCGCATTTGAGAACTGAAGGGAAGGGGATAACAAAATTATTCTTTTCCTTGTGATTACTTCAAACTCACCAGAGGAAACTAATTCATTTTTAAACTGGTGAGAATCAGCAGGATGTGGTGTGGAAGAATCAATGGAGGATACAGGATGAGGGACAATGTCTAATGCAGAAATAAATGGTGCAGAATGCAGCACAAACAAATTACTCTTGCTTAATAGGTGATGCCACATAATAGACAACATTTATCACTGTTTTACTTCATAATTTCAGATTGTATTCACAGCATGCCAAAACTTGCACAATTATATATTTATTGCAAAACACTTGCAAGCACAAGGTGGCTGAAGAGGTACTTTAGTTGAGTTTTGCATGGAGATTCTACCCCCCAAAATCTGCCCCAATTCAAATACTCACTTTTTTTTAATAGGAAAGATTTTACTCTGAAATCAGCACCAGCCTAAGCTCATGTGGTTCAGTGCTCATCAATGGGCTGAGTCAGGCTCTTCAAGCTGTTGCTCAGAACTTGTCTGTGTGCTGAGCTGTGGGCAGCACCTCGGAGTGAGGGAGGGACACAAAGGACTCTCCAAAGCCTCAGGGGTGAGTGGGACTGCCCTGAGATCCCCCTGTGCTTTGGGAACAGTGTGAGGCACCATCTTCTCCTCCACCACAGCCACTGAAGGAGTCACAGCCAACAACTTTTATGTTTTCATTTGCAGCAGCCTCTGCAGGCTCATGTGAATCGTGTCACGGGGGGAATTATGTTTTCCAGACAAGGAAGAGCCACACTCCCTGTGGGGCTGAAGTCACTTCCTATAATCCCATGGACTTCCTTTGGAAGGAATTATCACCAGATCTGTGTCTGGTGAGCACAGCAGGAGCACAGAGGGAATTGCCAGATTCTGCTGGGCTCAGGAGGGATCCATTCATGTCTTTAAGGAAACAGCTTGCTGTGTCACTTTGTTTTGTGTTTAGTACTACTAAAAATGCATTTATTTTGTACCCTGTCTTAGCTCCTCTGAATGCACCAGACAATTAATATGTGGATCTAACAATTTTGCTTCACCATGTTATTTCAATTAAATCTTCTTTTTTATCTGCATCATGTTCATTAACTACAGCAACTATGATGCTAAAGTTCAAGAGCAGCCTGCATTCCTGATGAGAACAGTTGGTAGAAGAAACTCTTTTGATTTAAATATTCTCCTGGGTTTTTTTCCCTACCTATGAACAGATGAATATTTTATAGCCGTGGTGACTTAATTTTTTGTTAACTACAGCAAATTTATAATTCATCAAATTCCTGAGTGCTCTGGCTCTGACCCCTGCCCCTCATTCATCTCTTTGTAGCCCTGCCTTGGCTCTTTCAGTGACAGAAACTAATAGCCAATAAAGACACCATGACACTGGCAGTTACAATGATGAATGCTTCACGTGGCATGGTCTTATTATGACCCACTCTCAGAGGAAGAGCAAGCCATTTTTCAAACAATCCATTAAAACAAAAAACAAAAAACAAACAAAAAAAAACCAACAAAAAAAATAAAAGGAGGGAGAAGGAAATTATCACATATTTCATGTGTTTTAAATCATACTTAGGGACTGCAGCACGCTGTGCTGATAATTTCATCTGAATTAGAGAGCTTGGATTTTTTTATTTCTGCTTCACACAAGTTACATGGGAGCTTGGCTGGTGTGAAATACAACCCACAGCACTTCCACTTCTTCCCCACAACATCTGAATGCAACCATTTCTATGCAAAGCTATAGCATTAAATGGGTAAAATGACACCAGGAATTCAAACCTGCCCTTAGAAATACCTGTCAAATAAAACTGAGACCCAGCAATTGACACTTGGATAATTCATCTGACTTTTCACTGCCTGGATTCAGACCCTGCTTGGCAGGCCAGGAAATCCCTGCCTTTGGTGGCACCCTTAATTCATCAGGGAAACAGAACTGAATAGGTGGCAGACAGATCTTTCCACTGAGAATGTATGATTTATTTTTCATTTCTGATGATTTTTAATCCTGGTAGATCTGGAACTCAACTGCAGTTCTGTCCATCAGTCCTTGGAATTTCTCATGGTTTTCAGCCTTACCTTTCCCTGCCACTGCTCTCTCCAGAACACAGGACTTGGATGAAAGCTGCTTCTGGTGTTCTGTTTGAATTCTCCTTGCTGAGCTTCTCTCTCTTTGGTCTTTAATCAGGAGGTGAAAATAAAACAGAGAAAAGAATTAGTGCAGCCAAAATCAAACTCACTGAACCCAACAATTCAATCCCAGGCCCATTCCCTTGGAATGCAAAAGCAGGAGTCTCTTTATTGAAACTGGTCACCAAAGATGCAGGAATCCTTTGTTTTATTTTTGTTGTATAGATGTCCCAGGAAAGGAAGCAATGGCCTGGATCTGTCCCTGAGGCTGATCCATGACCCTGTCTATCCATACATCACAATAAACAGCCCAGCCCTGGCTGCTGCAGCCCGTGGGTGCAGTGGGACACCTTCCCTTGGTGTCTCTGGAGTCCAGGCCAGCCTTTCCATGCACAGCTAACATTGAATACTCGGGGAAGTTCCCAATTATGATATGTCATTGCTAACCTGGGATCTTTGGGGCTGGTTTATAATCCCTTCATTGTCCAGAGATGGGACAATCCTTCTCTGCCTGGTATTCTGTGCTCTTTGTCAGGCAAGGAGAGAACAGAGTTGGGTTCAGAGCACTAAAACCCAGAAAAACAAATGTTTGAGAGCCATGAGGCTGCAAGGAGCTGTGCAGATGTTGGTATTGAGCAGCTGAGCTCCTGCATGTGTGGAAAGCAGCGCTGGGCTCCCAAGGCTGGGCTGCAGGTGTCTGACAGAGGGAATGCTTGGCACAGCAGCTGTGACACACTTCTTTCAGTAATACAGTAAGACAAAGTGAACAAGAACTGCAGCTGAACTGGAGCTGTTAATCCCCAGCCTCAGAGTCTGTCTGTCCCACAAGTGGAGCAGTTTGTTTGGAAGTTCCCTCAATTACATAAAACGATCTGGGCTAAAAACAAACTAAACAATCCTTCCCTTGGGAATGTCCCAGGGAGGCTCAGCCTGGATTGTGGCTCTGGCTTTAAGAGGGGTAACACCAGGCTCTGGTGACAGAAGGGGCTCCCTGATGCAGCTGGAAAGGGACACGTGGCTGCCACAGACCTGAGGGCAGCACCACAACATCCCTGCAAAAGGTTGGAGAGGAGCAAATCCAAGGGAAACGCCCCTGGAAGCTGGTGGGGTGTGCCAGGGATGCCAGCGCCCAGCGAATTAACACTAATGCTATTACAGCAATGAGATTTATTAGGTGCAGCTTTTCAGCTCGGCTCCTCTGGTCCTGTATTCCCTCGGTAATCCCTTGGCTGAGGCTGCCGGGCTGGCCCCGGGCAGCTCCCGGCTCCACGCCTTGCTCCCAGCAATCCAGACCTTCAACCACACTAAACTGAAGTGACAGCTGAGGATGGATGGTTCTTCAGCCCCAAATTTAGCAGCAAAGCAGGATAAGAAGGTCTAATAATATTTGCTTTCAGTTCCACTGAATGAACTGTTAAATCCCCTGTAAGGCCTCTGAACTACACAATTCCTGCTTTGAATACCTGTGGTGCCTTTCCTCACTGCTGTGCTGACAGCTCCTATTCCATGTTTTGTATGTGGCAAAAGGAAGGATGTGTGAGGAAAGGGGAGAAAAGAATAAATTTGCAGCAAATTCTTTATTATTTTGAGGAAATTTATGAGTTTGTGTGTGCTGGGGAGTAAATCCTGTGGGGAAGTGAACTCAGTGAGCAGGGAGGGATGGACAGCACAGGGAGGTTTGGACCTGCAGAAATAAATGGATTTATCACAAGAACATGGGTGATGCCCCCCTGACACCACAGGGAAGGGTGGAATCTGTGGTAAATTATTCAGCTGTGCCAAAGCACTGCTAGGGAATACCCAGTTCCAGCCTTTCTCCATAGATTCCAGACCACCACTGACCTCTGTGAGCTGGAGCAGGAGCAGAGACCACTCTGCAAACCTTTCTTTTCAGGGCTCTCTTTGGCAGGGAGTCTTCAGCAAAAATCAGGTGCTCCTGCTCCCGGGATGCTGCTTGCTGCTTTCTCTTCTGCTCCTGGATCCTCTTCTTGAGTTGCTCTAACTTATTTTGGGGTGATTTTCTCCACAGCTCTTGCAGCTTCTGATCTCTGGCCTTGCTGGCTGCCGAAAGGTGGGATGTGGGAAGCAGGAGAGCCGTGGGCACGGGGGTGTTGCTGCCAAACAGGACAGAGGAGCTGCTCCTTGCAGGGAAGCAAGGTGGGCAATGCAGGGAGCAGGGAGATTTTTCCTTCTGGGCTGGGAATCCTCTTGAATCTCCCAGCTCCATGAAATTGTCCCTTCTTGGGCTGTCCAGGCTTTTTGCAGGCACCCATGTCCCAGCTGAGCCTTTTCCATCCATAGCCCAATTGCTGGCAGGGCTGCAGCATCCTGAGGCTGCCCTGGGGGGCAGAGGGGACATTCTGGATGGGCCAGGGATCACAACAGGGCTCTCAGGAAAACAGGTCTGTGAGAGAGCAGGGGAGAGAACAGCAGAGCTTCCCTCTCTTCAGAAAAAGAGAAACAAAGGTCAGTATGTAGGATTAAAAATGATTGAATTGGTCGATACAGTGACATGGGTGACTGCTGAGTTTGTGCATGTTCTGATGGTGACCTCAGCATCTCCACAGAATCAGCATTTTGCCAGTCACCAGCAGCCTGGCAAATGAAGATAATATTAGGGAAGTACAGTGCAAATTGTGATCTGATATGAGAAATTATGAGCATGGGCAGAGAACTGATATCAGGCACTGCCTTCCTCCACTGCCTTGTTGGTCACAGCTGAGGGAGAAATTGCTTGGTGACTCTTTTGCTCCTTTTTTTCCCAATAAACAGTAAGGTGCTAAACGTTTTCTCAAGTCCTGCATCCCAGAATTTTAAATCCCTTTACATGTGCCTCTATCAGCCCACCCCCAGGTGCTGTACACTCAGGTTATTATTTACCTGTGGGCTGGAGCAATCTCATTGCTCTTTTTCTCACTCAAAGTTGTTTCATCTTTGTTCCTCTTGCCATCTACAGCACATCAAAACTATGTCAATGTCAAAATGTCAAAAATACTCCTTAACCATTAAATTCAAAGAGAAACTTTGACAGGGAACCATCCCCCCCAAAAACCTGGCCCAAAGATATTAAATAAATATTAAAGGTTGGCAGCTGAAACTGTTCCCAGCCAATAAACCACCTCAGAAACAAATATTTAACAGACATAAAAATAACAAGTGAAATCTGTTCTTGTTACTAGTTTTTAAGAACAGTCTGGAATTGGGTTCAATTTCCTGCTTTTTTCTTCTCCCACTTCATCTTTTAGAAACAATTTTAAACACATTATGTATTTCCTGCCAAAGTTAGCAAACAAAATGTTGCATTTCCATCACTTTAGTTGATCTCTAGGGAAGAAACCCTCAGAGGAGAAGCACAGGGAGCTTTTACTGTGCTGGAGCTGGTGGGTGTTGATGCTGTAGCTTTTGCTTCAGCTCTCCCCAGCAAGGTGTGACTTCCTGTGCATTGTGATATTTTGCTGGGAACAGACAGAAGGCTGATGAAAATACACATTTTCCTTACTAAAGAGGGTTTTTCACTATCTCCTGTCACCTTCCCTTCCCTCCAGCACCAAAGCAGTCCCATCTCAGCGGTTTCCCAGTAACTCAGAACTCACCAAAGCTCTTTTCGTGCCAAAGCTTTCTTCTGGCTGCCTGTGATTTGGCACAGCTCCACGTTTGATGATAAAATTTGTTTTCAATCCTTTGTAGCTGTGAAAAAGCAGATTTTTCTTTTGAAGGGAGACATATGTTTTGGGTTTTTTCTGGAGTAGCTTTTTGTTGGCATCCACTGCTTCTCTGATTAATTTTGCAGCTCCTAGTTACTGTGTAAATACTGGCTTGTCTGAGCATGTTCCATGTGGTATTTCCTACAGTTGGAAAGAATGCAGTTGACAGGGAAGATAGGAGGTGAAATCACCTCTCTCCTTTATTCACACTTTGCATGTGTGTGTGCCTGAAATTTTTACTGATGTTTTTAAAACCAGCTTAAGCTGGAGGTGTCCCCAGCCAAGAGCAGCTTCAGTGGGATGCTGCTGTCAGGCCTTTGCTGTGCAAGCAACACCCTGTGGATTTGGATAATATTCTGCATTTATCCAAGGAATGTGAGTTATGATGGCAGCTGCTGTGCTCACAACTCTATCATGTTCCCTACTAAGAGGATGATAAGACAGGGAGAATCCAGAGAATGTCTCGGCTGTTGTTCTGCTCAGGGCTTCAAACATGAGCAAGGCAAAGCTTTGTCTGTTCTTGTCACTAACTTTGTGAGTGGTGTGAAATTGGGTAAAATTCCTTGCTTTTCCCCTTATCCTCTCTTTGTTATTTAGCAAGTAAAGAGGTGATGTGTCACTGGTTATAAACCAACCAAGTGGAAGGTTTACATTGCTTTCAATTACAATATTTCCATGGAATTCTGCCTGGAGGTGATGCACAGGCAGCTGACAGAAAGAGATAAAGGTGTGTGACAGCAAGTGCTCCCTGAACTGCACATACCACTGCTTTGGCTTCCTGGAGACTCTTCCAAGACAAGACCACAGCTGTGGAACCAAGAGATGAAAGATATTTTAGCATCTCCTCACTACTGACAGTTTCCCCTCATGCCCAAGCCAGAGTAGATCATGAGCTGCTGGCTGAAACACAGAACTGCTCCTGAAAAATTCTGTCTGGGCTGCTTTTGTATCTCAGTGTGTGCTGAGTTCCATCAGCTCTCTGGGCTGTGTCAGTGCTTGTTCAGCAAAATCCTTGCTGATATTAGCACACATCTTAAAAAGTCTGAGCTGAATTTCACAGTTCAGTCCTATTTGCAGTAGTTGCTTAAAAAACACCCCAAAACACACAGTATTAATTGTGAAAGAATGGCTCATGTCTTTTTATGGAAAAAAAAATAAGGGACACATCAGAAGCTCCTGCTGTGAACTCATTGAATCCACTGGACAGAAAGTGAGCTGTGATGCTCTCAGGCTGAGGAGGTTCACAGAGCAGGTTTCTTTGGAAAGCAGCATGAAATGGGGGGTTGGTGTTGCTGTAAGGGTTATGAACAATTACAAAACTGCCCAGCGCTCTCCAAACTTCAAAATATTTGCTCCATTGTTCCTGAAGTCACACAATCCAGATTAAACTAAGCACTAAAGTCTTTCCACAAGTAATAAATCCTGGGTTTAAAATAAAGTTACCCAAGTGTCTGCTATGACTGTGCCACTGAAAGTGGAATTTCATTATCCACATACCAGTGAGAGGATCCAGCTCTCCAGAGGTAAAGCTGTTCTCCATCTTTCAGCTCTGCTGCAGCTCTGCTTCCTTGGTCTCCATGTCTGAAACAGCCATGCAAAGGGACAGGTCACTGCTGCCCTCTGACAACAGCCCAGGGCGTTTATATGCTGATATAAATATACATTTTCTCATCTGTTATTGCTGACTGCCCATAAAGAGCCTCAGCATTTACATTTTTGTGGTGTTTGCAAATGTTACCTGCTATTATTAATTTTCTCAGCCTTGTGAAGGAGTCTTAAGAGAGACTGAGCTGGTAAATGTCCTGCTGGGGGTCAGTGCACTTTGCAGAGCTGCCTGGGAGCTCAGGAATGGTCAGAGAGCTGGGAAAATCAACTCCATCCATCCATCCATCCATCCATCCATCCATCCATCCATCCATCCATCCATCATCCATCATCCATCCATCCATCATCCATCCATCCATCCATCCATCCATCCATCATCCATCCATCCATCCATCCATCCATCCATCCATCCATCCATCCATCCATCCATCCATCCATCCATCATCCATCCATCCATCCATCTTCCCATCCATTCAACACTTACCTTTTGAAGCCTCAGCCATGCATGGAACAAAATCTCCCCTTAGGAGCTGCGCCAAAGCCCTTTGGAGACGATCTGCAGTCTTTCAAGAGCAGCTGATCGCAAAGGCACTTCCAGAAGAAAGGTGTGAGAGCAGCCACCAGCTGGGAAATCAGGAGAGCCACGTCCCAGGTCTGCCCTGCCCAGGAGTCCCGGGAGGAGTGTGAGGACCAGAGGGATCCCACTGACCCCTCCAGAGCTCAGCCATCGCCACACCTTTGTTTGTGCCCCTCCCTGCAGGGCGACAGCGGCCACAGCACAGGGAGGGGCTGTTGGGAGCACAGGAGAAAACAAACAGCAACAAGAGGAGCCTGAGCACTGATCTCAGCTTGCAAACACACAGTAAGGCACCAGCAGATTTCTCGACAAGCCCTTGTGTCCTTTCCAGGGCGTTTGGCATCCTGGTGGTGGCCACTGGCAGCGCTGGGTGGCTGCAGAGGACAGGACAGGGTGACCAGCCTGGGGCTCAGGTGGGAACAGCTCTGCACTTCTGGGATGGCCAAAGCAGGGAGAGGGACCAGATCTCCTGGAGTCCTCATCCCAGGGCATCTGTCCTCATTATAGAGCAACATTTCCCATTCCAGGGCATCTCTCCTCACACCTTCCCCTGTGGGCTCACCCAGTGTTTGGTCCTGCTCTCAGTCACACCTGAATCTCTGCTTTCAAGAGAGTAGGGAGGGCTTAATTTTGGGGTTCTATTTAGGGGGAAATTAAAAAAAAAACGAAGTTTCTGGTCTTTATGATTATAAGCAAAAATTTGATAATATAAAAGAAATGTATACTAAAGTCTCAAGTGACACTTTTCCTCCTTTGTGAGTATCACTTATTTTAAGCGTCACAATTTTTGAAGTGTAAGTATTTGGAATCTGGGCTGTGACCATTCAGGTTCTCCAGGTTTTGGGTTATCCGGAGGGAACAGTCTGATAAGCCAACAGCAGAGGGCAAACGGAGCCTGCACACTGGAGCTGTGCACTCCCTGTTTGGAGGCTCCCGGCCCCAACTTCTGCCGGGACAGCCCAGGGAAGGGGCAGGAACCACCTCGGACAAAGCCTGAACTGGGAAGAAGCAGCAGCAAAACTCTCACAACAGCAACAATTCACTTTACTTTTCGTTTTCACTCCTCTTATGGAGCATCTGATGGACTTCAGGGGGCTGTGATGTCCTGGACAGAGGCCTGACAGTGAATTTTTTCCAGCCCCTCAAAATTACCTCTGCAAAGCCATACACCACTTACTGCTGTTGTGGGTTGAATTTGAGCAAGTCCCCCAAGAAGAGGCTCTGTACCCTCCCACCTCACTGCAGAGCAGAGCCAACTGTGTGCTGTTCAACCAGCACTTTGGTTTATATTGAATCTGACTTCTTTTTCTGGTTTATATCTTCAATTATTTGTTCATTCTTTGTAACTCTACAGATTTGCTTCTAGCAGCAATGTCAGGCTTGTGAGTGTTGGGTATTACTGGAAACCACTTGGTGAGGGGGGTGAGACACTGGCACCACATCCTTCCATCCCACGGATCCCTGTGGTCTCTGAGAAGTTCTCTTGAAGAAACAAATCTAATAAATGTCCCTGCTCAGAGCCTGTGCTCAGATAGCCCCAGAATTTCAGCTTTTCAAGCCTAACCAAACAAGGAATTCCTGAGTGGAGTCGCAAAGTTCCTGTTTCAAGCTGTTCCAAGCCAACGTTCTGGCCTGATTAGAGGTTTCAGTGCTGGGAATGCAGAGCCTGTCCAAGAGGGGAGCCACAGCTATTCCGGGTGCACGAGTGATAAGAGCCCTAATTGCAGTCTCAGGGCTCAGGGCTGGAACCTCAGAGAGGGGAGAGAACACAATGTGCAGCCTCAGCAGTGGGATGGCAATGCTTAGGGGAGATTTGGGAAGATGGGAAGCTGTGACAGCCACCAGGAAATCCCAGGGCTGGTCCCTGAGATGTTGGGAGAGCCAAGTGGAGCAGGGATGTGTGTGCTGTGACAGGCAGAGCTCTCGGCAGGCAACGCTTCTGCGGTGCCTCAGGTTGGACTGGCGTCTATTTTGGCTCTGTATTTTCTCAGCAAGCTGTTGGAGCTGACAAGAGCCAGGAGAGTGACAGATTGCCACTGTGCTCTGCTGCACATCTTGGAGTGTTAGACCACAAATCTGCTGAGAGATGAAGTGAAACTTATCACTGGGCCAAATCCCACTTCTGCAGAGTGTGAAACTCTCGAGTCAGAGAGGCGAGTGAGCTGAGGCAAAGAGGAGCAAATCCATTAGGATTTGTATTTTAGATCTGTATGAGCAAAATGAGCCAGCCGTGTACAGTTCAGTCCTGCTGACTCCACAGCTCCTGTCTCACTGAACCAAGGCAGGAAGAGGCACTGGGTTTTCACTCCTGTGGCATTTTTGAGGCACCAGCCCCCAAAACACCAAATTTCCCCTACTGAGATACTCCAACTACCACCTACTCATTTTAGCAAATCAGACAACGGGCCATGGCCTGTTCAGAGGAGGTTCTACGAAAGCATTTTAGGCTTTTTCTGGCAAGGATATTGTAGAGTTTCTCATCTAAGAATCTGCCAAGGGAGGTACAGCTGACCCCCACATGGGTTTATCCCACAAGGAACACATTGTTTGGGTTTGAGTTTTCTTTTTCCCAGCCAGCACTTCCCCCTTACACACACGATTTTGGGTGGGACAAGAAGTGCCCAGCTCTGCCACACTGTGGCACTTGGAGCTCCAGTGAGGATTTCTGGTGTTTTTGCAGGCAAAGACGAGCGGGTTTGGTATTTATTGAACTCCATACGAGGCTGTTTGGAGTCTGAAGGTTTGTTTGGTATGGACTCACCTCCCAGAGGCTTCAGTTTCTGCTGCTGTGCACTGTCTCTGTTTAGGAAATATTTCACCCAGTAACCCACAAGGTCTAGCAAAATTCAGGAAGTACAGATGTATGTGAACCAAAACCAGAAATTCCTCCCAAGTCTTGGTGTTTTGAAATT